TGTTAGCTAGCAATGATGAGATTATGCTTAATGGCTTCAAAACATAGAACAAGTTTAGAATACTCATGCATAGCTAGATAATCAGCATGTTGATAGAATTTTTATTTTTATGCCAACAAATTATCATATACAAGTAAAACTTCTAATGTAACTCAAAGAACTGTAGAATTTGTGATAAAGTTGAAATCTAGTAAGATTTATAAAAACTTTTCTATACCCAGAAATATTTAGTAACACATACACCAAAGAAACTGATTGCTGGAGTATTGTGAGCCTGAGGCCAACATGACAATAACCACCACCCCACGGGGAGTAGGTGGAGCCCAAGCTGCTGGGCCTCCTCCATTCCCTACTGTTCTCAGGTTAAGACTTTCTTAACAAGAGCTTCAGGAAAGTTAACAACCTTCACAGTTTTGTGGATCAGGGATATTTAGGTGTCTTGAGCTCCTGCGTGAAACTTGTTTTTTGGGGCGGGGCTAAACATATTTATTTCTTCAAGTATTAATTATTTCTTTTTTTTAATAGTACATGTTTTCAGTATATAATGATTACAGTTATCTTGGGGAGTTAATACATGTATATTCAAAATTATTATTATTTTTAGTTTATTGGTACAATTTACGTATACACTAGTTACATTCATTATTGGGATCTTGCACCTTTACATGATGTGTCTTGCTTCTTATAGTTTTCCTCATTCCCCAGCCCTCCCTTCACTTCCTCAACCCTTCCCTGTTTACAAAGATATTGCTTCCATTATTTTCCTTTTCTCATATTTTTTCTTTTGCCTTCTTACCTTTTCACTTCCCCTCCCACTTCCCCTACTCTTTTAGACCTTTTCTTCCTACTATACAATATCAATTATACATTTTTATCCCTATTTACACTTTTAGTTTTTCATACCAGAGAAACTAATCGGTATTTACATATGTGACTTATTAATTTCACTTAAGAGAATGGCCTCAGTATGCATCCACTTAGCTATACGTATCTCTAGTTTCTTATTTTTTATGGCTTAGTAGTACTCCATTTTATAAAACAAAGCAAAGCTAACCCCCCTCCAAAAAAACCATACATCTTCCGGTTATTCGAGAGATGCAGACGAAAACAACACTGAAATTGCACTTCACCCCAGAAAGAATGGCTGCTATCAAGAAATCAACTAATAATAAATGCCGCTGGGGTGGTGGGGAGATAGGAACCCTTCTCCATTGCTGGTGGGAGTGCAGACTGGTACAACCACTATGGAAATCAATATGGAGATACCTCAAAATCTAGGATTAGAGGTCCCATTTGACCCAGCTATTCCTCTGCTGGGTATCTTCCCAAAAGAATTAAAAGGATCATACCACAGTGATATATGTGCACCCACGTTTATAGCAGCACAGTTTGTAATAGCTAAAACTTGGAAACAGCCGAATTGCCCATCAACTGGAGACTGGATAAAGAAGATTTTTTTATTTTTTTGCCTGAAACTTTTAATCAAATTCTCAAGGTTTGTGAGAGACATAGATGTCAAGTGATCAAGACTGAATATTAATTTATCCATCCTGAGTCCTAGATTTTTCAGAAAGACTCTACATAAAATTAAAGGGTGTCCACTTGACAACGGGATTTATTGCTGCACAATCATCTTTTCACGTACATCAGCGAATGTCTTTATTTGTGTTATTTTCAGTAGTCCAGAGCAACATAGCTCTATTACTTCAGTATTCTAAACACAAACTTTACTGCCAGCCAATGACTTAGAAGAGTCATGGAATTGTCTGATTTAGCTGGAAACCTGGACTTTCTCTCTTTGTTTATATGTGACTTAGTGTTCCAACAAGTCTTGTTTGGACACGTCAAACTCCCGCATGATGAGGCAAAGTTTTGTGGGCATCAGCAAGCCCATCCACTGGACATGGGCAGAGGCAGAGAGGCAGAGGGAGAGGTCATTTTCTGCTTTTCTCTCTGGGAGCGCATAGTTAACATATAGCAGTGAGAGCTCTATACGTTATATTAAGTGTCACACTACTGGCCCTTTCAAATTAAATGAGTGTGAAAATATTACATTTTAAAAGCTGGCTAAACTTCTTTAAAGGCACAGCGTTTTGGTGAGGTATTTACTGTGACAAATGTCTCCACATAGCAACCATTTTGACATTCAGGTTACGAATGTAACTTGGACATTTTGTTGGTACATTACACAAACAAAATGAAACAGAAACAACCAGTATAAATGGCCAGCAATAGCTAAACTGCGATTCAACTCTACTTTGCAAAAAAAGCTTAATGTGAAAGTGAACGACTACTTCGCACCTTATCCCCGATTCTCACAAGCACACCTGTGGATTCCATTATTTCTCTCGTGGTGGATCTGTTGTTTGGGTTCTACTGGGCTCCCAGAGTGCTTTTAGCAAATTATCTGTGAGGCCCTGGAGTGCGAGGAATGAGTCAGCGCTTTGCAGACTCACAGCGAGATGCCTAAAGGGGGAAGGTAGCGTCCCAGAGTCAGGTCAAGTAGAGCCTGAAACTCAACATAACCAAAGACTTCATTCTCTCATTCAAAGCCAAGTGTCCTTCTGTATTTGCTCTTCCAACAAATGCATTACCATTGGCCAATGAATGTATTGTTCACAGAATGGCTGCTCTACTTCTCCTGGCTGCATCAGCAGCCCTTGGCAATGTGGCTTCCTAGCTGCTCACATCGTGCAATATGATGTATTTCCCCAACTTGGAAAAGGTGAGCTCATGACTTGCTTCCTCTAGGAGAAAGTGGAAGAAGTGAGGAGATACCAACTCTAAGCCTCACATGCAAGCCTTGTGTAGGTGTCTGAGTTGTCTCAGAACTCGTTCTACTTCCTCGTGGGAAACCCTGCTCTACCCTGGTGAAGGAAAGGAGAATCCATGGGGCTCAGAGAGATCCAGCTGTCCCCGCAAATAACTTCAGACAGAGAAAGCCCAGCCAGCATTCCTGGGCCAGGCTCAGCTCAACAGAAATGCCTGATGACCAAAGAATAAAAAAAATAAAAAAATCAGTGTTTCTTAATAATTGGTGTTTCTTGTCTTTGGCATGTTTTATTACATAGTAAAAGCTCGCTGATACAGTACCCTTCTGGAAACATGAAGCTTTTATTCTTTATTCTCTTTTCCCCTTGGTCTTAAGAAGTTGACCCTTAAATCATCTGTATTTCTAAATTAAACTCTTTGGAAATATAATTTCTTGCTGTGCCTGCCTGTTACTTTCTATTCCTGGGCTTATCTCTCAATAACTCCTTAAGATTTCACTGCTCCCATTCTTTTCCTCTTCTAATCTAGCCCTAGAGTATTGTTTTGTCCTAGAAATCAAATTTTGTGGCTCTTTCTTTAAAAATCTTCATTCACCCTCTTTCCATGTATGGTAGATAAGCACGGATTCAGTCTCATTTCTAATACTTGAGATTACTGAAGATGGCACACCCAGCCCTTCCTCTTTGCCCTTCCCTCTCTCTTATGAATTCTAGAACTCATTACACTGCCATACATAGGCAGTGCTCCCACAACACAAAGCCGCTCATCCTTACCTTTTTAAGCACAAGTCTTAAGTGGTGGCCCATGTTGCTCTTTCTGCCGGAATTCCCACTTCTACCTGATCTACTTGTCAATGTTTTACTCCTTCAACTTTTACCTCAGATAAAATCTGCCCTGGGAAGTTTTCCCGGTTTCTTTCCATCAGAATGAACTATGTATGTCCTTCTACACTTCCACGGTAGGCCTTCCTAACCCAGAACTCCTTTTTCTCTACTTCGTTCCTTTTTTCTGTGCTTTTGTTGCACAGAATAAGTGAGTTCTTTAAATACGCAGCCTTTGCCTCCATAACCTTTTAACCTTCAGAATCAAGGACAGTGTCTTGCAATCAAGCTTTCAGTAAATGTTTTCTAATTACACATAATGAGCAACATTAAACCAACTCACTTGAAAGTATAAAATTCTGTTTTTCAAGAAAGTTTTTAAATGTTTGAAATCTGTGCTTAATATGTACTTATAAGTGCATTTTCAAAAGTAACAAATTTTCCATAAATTTGGAAGGAATCTGGATTAATATTAATTATAAGTCTAAGTCATTTTACTCTTTCAGAAAATTTTAGGCAAAGACAGCCTACTAATATTGAGAGTTGTTAGCCAAAGTAAAACGTGTGAGAACTGGGCTGTCGTGCTCCTTATGAGTGGGGATTTGAAACAGGACAGGATGGATTCTACAGGTACATGCTAAAGTGTAAGATCTTGTTTCTTAGACAAACATTATTTAGCTCTTACTTCATCTCCAGAAGTCTTTTAGCTGCTTTTGGTTGACTTTAAAAATTGTCACTGATGTATCACCTTATTTCATTCATTCAACAAATATCAGTAGGCATGTATTATATGTCAAGCTTTGTTCCAATGTTTCAAGTCAATTATTCTCCCCCAAAAAAATAGTCTTATACTAATTACTTTGCAAAATAAACCAAGCTTGTTATGCGCTCATCTTTCTTCTCTCCTGCTCCACTCTACTCCCCACCCGAGGCCTCAGGCACGGTAGATGAGCTCGCTACTAGCAAACCATTTTCACAGTTTTCCATGTCTTCTTTTCCTTTGTGTCTGTCTTTCTTATTATCTTCCTTTACTTCTCCCTTCTTACAATCTTTATTTTTTAAAAAAATGCTCAAATTTCTGCTTATTTTCAGGGACTCATCTTTTTTTTTAATTCTTGAGTTTTCTTTTGTGCTCCATAGTATTTCTACCCAGAATATTAAGGCATATGTAAAAGTGTAATCTCAGCAGCTGTAATTCATATTCACTGGTATTTGTGGATATAATGTATCAGTCAGTTCCTTAGCCCTTTGGTTGGGGATTACACTGATTGTTTTTTAAACATCAGTATATTCTCAAATAAAAAATAAATTTTCATATATTCTTTATTTCTTAAACATAGAAATTATCATCTTATAGCATTAGTGATGATAAAGAATATTTCAAATGAATTAATGTATAATTGGGTCTCCTATTAGTAAAAAAATTTCCCCTTGTTCTATAAGCAAATCACATGTATGATTTTTAGAAGAAGAAATTAATGTGCTTTTTCAAAAGTTCAAGAGTAAATTTTTTAGGACAATGATCAAATATTCAGTTAAGAAGCGTTCAAAAGTAACGTCATAGACGGGCCTATTAGATGAAAATCACAGAGATAGACGTTCAAGCCTTTATAGGGCTTCCTGTCGCCATGTAACCACACCAGCGCAGGCAGAAGTGAGATTCAGGGAAGCACGGAGTCCCCTACTGTTTGGAAAATAAAACACTTCATCATGTTGTTATCAGCAAAATAGCAACAGGAGTTAATTGTGATTGATAATTTTGTCCTGAGAAAAATGTTTCATTTTGACCTTTTTTTATTGCCCTTGATGAAATTACTCAATGTGCTTTTATAGGGTTCAAACTAAGAACAATCAATTATTACTTTGATCTGCAAAGAGTTTCAGAAACATAGTTTATGTCAAAGTTGATATTCTAAAATATTTTTATAAAACATCATAGCATTGTGACTTGGACTCCTTTTGCTTTTTGACCAGCAGGTTTAATTGAAGATTTTAAGGAAGAGGGCCATCCAACCACTTAATTTTGATTTACTGTTGAATTACTATCCCTATGTAGCTTGACTCAGTTAAGCTTCAGTGTATTTCTGTAATCGTTATGACCCCTCTCTCAAAACATTAGCACTCTCAAAGATTAGAGGAAGAATCCACTTCACATCTGAGTTTGGCCAAGTTTTACACAGTTTGGATGCTCTCCTACCATTTGAAGGTATTAAAAACAAACTAAAAACAAACAAATCATTACCCTGCTTGTCCATTTTAGAGTTTCTTTCCGGGAAGCAGTGTTTAGGATCAACTGTGATCTTTAAGTTCCCATATTGGCCTGTTAAAAAGAACAAATTTAATGAGAGTTTGGCTCAGGCACAAAGTGCTAAAACAACAGATGGAATCAATATTAGACTTTACCAAGGAGTTACATAGGAAAATCAACAGTTCTTTGCAATGATTGATGATGATTGTGTAAATTTCTTTTTGTGTTGTCAGCAGTTTTCTTTTTCTGAGGCAATCTAAGTAAATGCCACAGAGGCTGATTATGAAGTAGCTCTAAGTAGAATTTGGGCTCTTTCCAGACTGAGATCAATGATAAACCAGTGCCTTGCACAGCAGTCCTAAAAGAAAGCAAAGAACAGATGTAAGTATCTGGGTATTTTAATTTCTTCACGTATATGAGGATTTGACCCATCCCAATCAGGCCTTCTCAACACACACACACACACACACACACACACACACACACACACACACACACTTCTCTCCCTCTAGTTTCCCAATATTGCTATAAATAACATTTTGGTAAAATCTATATTCAGTGGCTCACCTTATTGTGACTATGAATACTGCCTGCAGGTAAGTTATGACATCCATCCATGATATATATTTGCATTCTTATATATTGATGCACTTTTCCATGGTTAATAATTTCTTTGATTATAGTCTTAGTTATCTTTAACCTATTATTACTTCATCATTTTGCAAGGACTATATGCCTATATAATCTCTTGTGCCTAATATATATGTGCAAATATACATGATATATTATACATATATATCACATATATTGAGAGAAAGAAAAACACTCGTGTGTCCATGTATTTTAACTGAAGAATTGCCTCCTGCCTGCTCTTTCCATTCTGCAGCCCCCGTTTTTATCGGTTCTCCTCTAAACCTGATGTATCATAAAGTTCCCTTTGTCACCATTCAGGAATTTTCTTCTTTCATTCTATATGTACCAGAATTTTTAACACAGAATAATTATATTTTTGTCTATTTCCTTATTCTGATGAAACATATCTTCTAAGAGTAAAATTCTAGAGGCCTTCTAAGCTCTGTTAACTATCATCAAGTTTAATTTATAGTATGACTTGGCATAAAATGTTCGGATGAAACATATTTTTCTTCCTAATTAAAAGTGTGAAAGAGACTAACTGTGACAGAGATTAGGTCGGTGTTCACACATTGCTCTCTTCTTCCTCCTGAGAGCAATTAGAACCCCATTTTCTGGTTTCCTTTAACTTAGATGCAGACTTGTGACTCCGAGTTGGCCAGCAGAAGGCAGGGCAAAGTCATGTGCAGACCTTTATAAAATCCTCTGTAGCAGTCACGGAGAAGCTTTTAGAATCGTGATACAAACACCCCACTGTGGCATGCATGCCATAGGTTCCCCACAACTGCCCTATATTTTGCTGCATTCCTTACTTTGATAGCCAAATACTGAAAAGCCAGTGGTAGGTGCCAAACCCTTCACAAACAGTGAGACTTGAGCAGAAGCCTGGATCCTAGGGTAACTCATCGGGACCACCACTAATTCACACTGGCATGACTCGAGCAAGAAAGAACTCAGTATTTTTAGAAGCCAATGCAAATTTATGGTTCTGGTAGCAGAACAGCTCTTCTTGACTAGTATTGTCATGCCTGGCCTGAATGAGACCTTTCCAAGCAAACAGCCTACTCTATGCAAACAGGCTACTAGGACAGATGACCATAAAGAAAATTCCAGACAGATTATGCAATTTCTCTGGCACAAAGAACTCCAGCATACCTGCACTGACTGTCCTTGGACCCTTGGTCATAAATATTCTTTATGAACATAGTCCCTTCTCGAGCTTGATATAAACTTAATATCTCTCCCAGCTAGCTGTTGACAGTGTTTCTCTCTCTCTCTCTCTCTCTCTCTCTCTCTCTCTCTTCTCTCTCTCTCTCTCTCTCTCTCTCTCTCTCTCTCTCTCTCTCTCTCTCTCTCTCCACACACAGATGAAATAAATTCAGCTCTTCCCAGCTAGCTCCTAAAATCTGCCCCCAAAAGTCTCTGTTCACACCTGGACAAGAATAAAACTTTTTCTCACACAAAGCCTGTCTCCAAGTGGTCTCTCATATGTGGTTTATAACAAATATGACTTTGTGTCCCTTTTAATGTTCAAAGTCTGTGGGAGAAGACTGTATACCTAAATAATCCTTTGGATCAAAGATAAATATACTGGTTTTTCCCTAAACGCAAAGCAAAATATAAATTATTTATTTTATTTTTTATATTATTTGTACTATTAAATAAAATAAAAATACAAGGAGCTACATAAATATAGAAAGAGAATTTAGTAAGTAACCATATGATGTAAACTCTTGAAATTCCCACTTTGGGTCCTCAGAAGAAACACATTCGGGAGGGTCACACATGGACTAGGTCTTCCAGCCATTATGCAAGACTTTAGTAAAATCATTTCTGTTTTCTTTTAGCTACTTGTTGTTTGTATCCCTCAACAACATGGATTTCTTTCATTATTTAGACTTTTAATTATTGAAGTTCTTCTTATTTATGTCCTTTTATCAACATGCTAAGATTTCTCTGCATTGTTGCACATGGATATAGTTTATTTACTCTCATTGCTACATTGCCAAGCACATTAAACTAATGTCTGAACTTACCACTTCTTTGTTCATGACTTCTTCTCGCATCACTGATTTGCCATCAGAGATCAAGACCTACCTGTCAGAAGCACATCCTCCAAAAGTAGGGTCTTCATTCCCTGTGCTACTTAGTGTGGGTCTTGACTCTTGACCTTTTTCCCTACTACGCAATAACACTGTTGAAATAGATATTTACATTTTCTCTGGTTAATAAATGCCTTCCTAGCAAACAAGTTTGGAGTTCAGTTTATATTTCTCTCATCCTCACTTTTTCTAAAATTTGGACCTTGTCATTCCTCATGGTCTTATCATTTTAAAAATACATCTATACTTGCAATAAGGTTGAGGTTTACCTACGTATTACTTTTCTCTAATCTCTCAACCCAAGCTATTCGGTTTTCATTTGTTGGCAAGAAGATTTGCATAGATTTTCTGAAACAGGTAAACTCTGGATAAATTCCTGCATTGTGTTGTCCAGTTTTCATTAATTTGCCATTGTGCCATTGTGCACTTGATATCTTTCTAATGTTACCTTTTCTGTTGCTCTCATTCTTCTGAATTTATAATTTTTAACTGATTTGATTTGGTGATGTTGGGAACCCTAGGGTATGTGGAAAGCTTCATTGTCTGGGATGAAAATGGTCACTCATGAGAAGGGGGTGTTCTGTGTGTGTGTGTGTGTGCATGTGTGTGTGTGTTTGTGTGTGAATGGTACTAGGGATTGAACACAGGGCCTTTCTCTGAGCTACCACTCCAGGGCTTTTACAATTTTGAGAAAAAGTCTGGTGATCAGGGTTATTAATGCACTATTTCTGGAAGTTTTTCTGCTATACATGCTCTGTATTTTTAATTTCTGAATAAATTTATTTTTAAAAAAATGTTTTTCTTTAATTCCTAATATCTAATTCTCTTACTCTATAAAATTTTTAGTCACTTGTCTTATCTAATTCACACATTTGACTGATGAAGAGAATGAAATCTAGAAAAGTGAAAATCTAACCTCCCAACAGAAATGAATGAAACATTCAGATTGTAACCCCTTTTGGGTCCAGAACCATGTAATCTCTTATCCCACACATAGAAGAATTGGAAAATTATTATGAGATCAGTATTTCAGTTAGAGACATCTCTATTATTTTCACTGGAGGAAAATGGCAACAGCCATATTGTGATTAAAGAAATATAATTCCTAATTCTTAAATTTTTAATATTAAAATCATCTTACTGGAGCAAATATAACTTATTATTATTTAAACCCGTTTAGACCCTCTCTAAACATATGCACATGCACACACACACACACACACACACACGTGTGTGTGATTAATCAGGGTCCACAGTCTTTACATGGCAAACATAAACAACAAAACCTAACTTTATTTTTATTTATAAAAATATTTATTTCACAAATACTTAGGAGGCAGAATGTGAAGTTTTGACTCACACACACACACACACATATATATATATATATATACACACTCGTATATATGTATGTTTGATAAAGACTAATTTAGGATAATTTAACATATGTGTCACCTTTTAGATTTGTCATTTTATCATAGTTAAAACACTCAAAATTCTCTATTCTGTCTTGGATGTATAATGTGTTTTTGTTGATCATATTCACCCCCTGATGTATTATAAAACACAGATTTGTAATTCTGTACACATTAACCAACCTCTGCTCACGCTCCATCACCGTACTCTTCCTTGCCTCTGATAAACACTATCCTACTCCATTTCTTTGAGGTCAAGGTGTTCAGGTTCCACATTTAAATAGTAAATGTATTTTACTGTATCTTTCGCATAATTGGTAGAATTATCAGTTATTTGACACACCTATAAACAAGCATGTGTTACACACTCATGTTGACACACATGTGGTTTACACATGCATATTTCCCTCCCTCTCTTTCCCTTTCCCTTTCCCGCCCATCTCCTCTCTTCTTCCTCTTCCCTCTCTCCCAACCTTCCTTCCATCCTTCCTTCCTTCCTCATTTCTTTCTTCTTGGTTAGGAAGTCAGTAAGTTACCCATACTGGCCCCAAAATTGCAATCGTCCTGCCTCAGTCCCCTGAGTATGGCTCATTAATTAATCTTGTTTCATGTTGTCTAGAAGTATCAGAACAATTTTGAATAAAGAGGAAATAGTAAAATCCTTTATTAATAATTTAAAAGAGTTATTGCATTTCATCGGTAAGTTTTAAAGCTGGTAAAAGTTTTACTAGAAATACGTAAGATATATTACATATATGTACCAGCTCCCCATAAGACCATTATCATTTTGTTCTGCAAGCATGTACTGATACAAATTCTAAAATTTGTTTAAACTTTATTAATATAAGGAAGTTCCTCTTTTATTCCTATTTGGTGAAGATTTGTTATAATAAACAACCACCCATTTTTACACATTGCATGCTTCTTTGAAATTATTGGCATGATTACGTAATTCTTCTATTTTACTCTCAATAAAGTGAATTACATCAACTGATTTCATGTACTGAAATAAGCATTCATTTTTTTTAGGTTTATGCACCCTCAGTTACAGTCAATATGTTAAAAACATTTTATTTATTTTGCTTTTATATTCTGTATATAAACTGCTTTTGAGTTACTTAATCTTCTCTAGTGCCTTTTTCCTATTTTATGAATTTCTATGCTTATCTCCATTTTATTCATAACCGTGATTTCTTTGAAGTTTGTGTGATATTCCCTTATTAATTTTTTGAGATGAAAAGTTGGCCTCAGAAGGGCTAACCTTGACCATCTTGGAAGACTTTTGAGTTGATAAAATCCCCCTGCCTTAGATTATACGTGGTTGTTGTCCTGTCTGGGGAGCCTGGACTGAACAGCATTAGTGTTTTCAACCAGTCAGTATAAGAACTTGGTTAACAAACTATGGAAAGGTGGAAGAGATGTAAAACAGATACTGAGATATAAAACAGATACAATGGTTGTAGAGAAAGCTTTGTTGTGGAGGGTAAAGAAGGAAGATGCCAAGGTATTGGAAAGGACAAACTCGGAGGAAGGACCCCACAGAGAGGAGACCTTTTTTTGTCATGTTACTTTGCACATGGGGTGACATGGCTGGTTAAGGAAACTGAAAATATGAGGGACAGGATGAGGTTCCCGGTGACTGAGAGTACCACCGCCACTGAGCGATGACAGCAAGGAACCAGGACAATGGACCTTTTCTTCTAGTTTCCTGACTGGTAGCCAGTTGAGAGTACAGAAATAAAGAATGTCCTGTCCTGGTGTCACAAGCAAAGCATAGATAGGTGAATTCGGAGATGAAAGACATTAGGTTAAAAAGTGCCAGAGCTAGGAATGGTAGCACTTGCCTGTAACCACCCCTCCACACACCCCTCTCTCTGAGAGGATGAAGCAAGAGGATCTCAAGTTCAAGCCCAGCCTGGGCAAACTGGTTACTTAGACCTTGTCTCAAAGTTTTAAAAAAAATTTTCAAATGCTGGAGAAATAACTCTGTGCAAAGGCAGTGGGTTCAATTCCTAGTACCAGGAAGGAGAGACTGGTAGAATCTCACCTTGCACATTTTAATGCATAATAGTGAATTTGTGGGTTATTTAATGTTAATTATTTTTGAACTTCAATTAGAATTTTTCTTTGTCTAATGAATTATTTTTTAGTACAGTTCAGACTTTATAAATTTGTTTATACCTTTCATAAAAGCCAAATATGCTTTTTACACAGCCCAAGACTACCCAGGACCCATTGAAATATTAGCCCAGAAGCAGATCATTTGGACCAACACTGAACAATATCTGTGTGATCACAGAATTTGCAGCTCCTCGTGTTTAGTTCTTAACCAATCTTTAAAGGAATTGCTGAAAATGCATTGTGATAGTTGAATGCAAATACTGTTATCCTCATGGTCAGTGGATCTCAGAAATATTTAGGATGTGAAAAGCATATGGTGTAAGTATCTTCAGCTTACAAAGAAGCATCCGAGGATGCTGTCAGAATTCAGGGACAGAAAATAAAGGTTTACGTTATTATTTATAATTCCAAATACAATAAGCAGAGAAAAAAAATAACCAAAAGAGGAAGAATACACACACATACACACACACACACACACACAAAGTGTTATAGAAGAACAATTATAAATTAAATTCACATTTTCACAATAATCAATGTTTTTAAAAATTGATAAAGTAAAGTATGACTATACAAAAACATGATTTTAAAAGTGTGTAGTGGGCACATTGTCTTTCAAACTTTTTCTAAGAGTTAAAGAAGGAAGAGTGTCACGGCCACTAGTCCAATCTCCCTGTTTTTACTGGCCCAGCTCTCCACAGCCTCCTGTGTGTTTCTCTCATCTTCCATAGCTTGCCGTCCTGCCCACTCAACTTCTCTCCTTTCCTGGGACGAGCTTGCTTTCCTCTCATGTCACACCTCTTACCACTTTGTCTGCTCCTCCTAACCTACTTTACTTCCTGGACCGCTTAACTTCCTGTTTCCCAGAATGTCTGTGCTGATGAGCTCAGCCCACTGCTGGGGCATTCAACCGGGGAATGCGTTGTAATACTCTGCTCGCTCCAAGGTAGCTGTGCTCTGTGTTCTAGTCTCCCTCAAAGGATTGTAGAAGGGCAGAGACCTAGCTGATGGTAGCAGTTAATGCAGCAAGGCAAGAACCAGACACAAAACAGATGCAGAAATTACATGTTAATTGAAATATTGACAATTAACTAAAAGGAACTAATAAAAAATAGTATGTGCAGTGCGATCACAGGCCAGCTGGCCAATGTTTAAGTACTTAAAATCCATCTCATCAATATAACAAAATATATTCCACATTATATGTATTTAGCATCATTGTTTGTAAAAAATTTGATTCATGCCTGACTCAGAATAGATACATGAGGCATATTTATTAGAAGAATGAATTTAAAAGGTGACAGTATGACATTGTGTGTAAGAGCTGAATTTCACCAAGTAAACACACTTACGTTCTTGAGATCAGTTGTATACAAAAGTTAAATTTATTAAACCCTGTATCATTTTTTTTATCTTAAGAAAAGTAATTCATTAATTTCCCCTGTAAGTATTAATTTTCTTATTAAAACAAAATTAATATTGCTTTTTGGTTTAAGGATAAAGTAAGACAATGAAACTGTACTCAGAGGCATT